TTCTTGATAATGGTGGTTATCAATTTTATCATATCCCTTGGTACTGCAGTGGAACTAGTTATCTTGCGATCTGAACATTCTACTCCCGCCCATTGCCGTACAGCTTGAAGTTGTAACGGTGAAAAATTTTACAATTTTCTCCATGCAGGAAGTTGGGGAATCGTGACATTTGGCAGTTCTGGGATTGGAAAGGGAAAATTCTTGTCAAACTACGGAGTGGCCGTGACTACCGACAACAAGATAGTCGTGGCGGATTCCATAACCAAGCAGATACAGGTCTTCAACATGAAGGGGAAGTCCTCCGACTCTTTTCAGCGGTAGTACCGGGTGGGAATGGGCCCATGCAGCCTAGCGATGTAACGGTCGATGGGGAGGGAGATTTGTGGGTATTGGGGGGGATTGGGTGTCATTGGGGTGCTATGGGACCAACATGTAATGTAACTGTGGTACGGTATGACATACGGGGGGAAAAGCATGTGCACGAACCATGTTCACCCAGCACAACCGGGGGATTGCGCAATGGGATTGCTAGAGACGCCCGTAACGACAACATCATCGTGGCTTTGTATGATGAAATTGTGATCTTCTTACCCAATGGCACTTTATTTCATAGTTCAAAAAGGTTCCGAAAGAGGACAACTCACGTGTCACAATCAATAACGTCGGGAATATCTTTGTTACGAACGTACATCATACGGTACATGGATCTGAACATAGTGTCCGTGTGTACAATTATTCTGGAAAAAACTTATTCAAATTTGGCGAGGGCCAACTGAAATCCCCTCAAGGTATTTGCATGGACAATTTGGGTAACATCATTGTGGCGAACTTCGAACGTGAGCGGGTAGACATGTTCACAAGCGCGGGGAAATTTCTCCGTACTGTGGTTACTGTGCCACGTCCATCTGGTGTTGCTTTAGGACCTGGTGGACAGCTGGTTGTGACTAACTTTGGATATAAGATAACTATATTTCCACGCCATATTGCTTTTCCATAAGGGGACAAAGTAACGAGCGTTGAGTTTTATCTTTCATCTTCAATCCTGCATGTGTTTTTTTCTTATTCATAAGACAATATTAATTTGCAAAACAAGCCACGGGGTGGACAACTGTAGGAAATCCCTAATTTTAGTCAGTCGTTTGGATGTTTCAAATAATTGATGTTTACTTTTCAAATATAAGCACAAAAACAAAGGAGAAAATAACTGACTCACCTTTCCAAATGTTATCAAATATCAAATATTATCTTCAATCCTGCATGTGTTTTTTTTTAAATTTATTAGACAATATTAATTTGCAAAACAAGACACGGGGTGGACAACTGTAGGAAATCACTAATTTTAGTCAGTCGTTTGGATGTTTCAAATAGTTGATGTTTACTTTTCAAATATAAGCACAAAAACAAAGGAGAAAATAACTGACTCACCTTCCAAATGTTATCAAATATCAAATATTATGTTCAATCCTGCATGTGTTTTTTTTTTAAATTTATTAGACAATATTAATTTGCAAACCAAGACACGGGGTCGACAACTGTAGGAAATCACTAATTAATATTTTAGTCACACCATCGACAAATACAATCAAAAAATGACAAAAAAATCAAATAACAAAACACAAATGGGCACAATAACAAGTAATACCGGATCGTAAATAAAAAAGGAGTGACTATTCATCGTAGACATTTCAAAACATTTAGTGAGGTATAAACCGCTTTGCATCGACAATGTGAGTTTATTCAATTTGATATCTGTATCCCTAGGCGTACCACACCAACGTCTGTATCTGTATCTCTGGCACGTGTATAACGGATCTTTTGGTCTTATTAGGTGCAACAGTAACGCACCAACTCCTGTATCTGTATGGCTGGCATAACCACCCTTTGAGGTAAAGTATTAATTTTGCATCTGCATTGTACAGTCGGACTAGAAGTGCCGTTTGAAAGCAACACCCCAATATTTGTTTCTGATAGTCATGTATAGTTGGCGTAACACATCAGTTTCTGTATCCGTTTAGCTCGTATAACCGACCTTTTGCATTGGCCTTAGGTGTAACACATAAACTGTAAAGCCTGTATCTCTATCTACATGTAGACCTTCCGTGTTGTATACACCGGCTTCGGTATCAGTATTGTGTAGAACTTTACAACCTCCGTATTTCAGCTTCTGTGTATATGTATATCCAATTATAACAGCTCTTCGGCGTAACACACCAGCTTACGATCTGACCTTATGACCTAATTACAACCGCCCTTTGTTGTAAACAGCCTTTTGTAACTGCATATAGCATGTATAAAAGCAATTCGGTGTTTCACACCAGCTTCTGTATCTGTATGTGTCTGGCGAATCAAGTATGCCCCCCCCCCACCTACCCATTGGCGTAACATACCGGCTTCTGTATCTGTGTACAGTGTACTAGTAACTCGTTAAGTCGTATACAAATGTATTACAAATTAGCCTAATATCTTACACTGCAGTCGTTAATCTAATTTCTTCCTGAGGGGGGAAACTAAAAAAATGGTAAAATACATTTTATGTTTGGAAATGGACAAAAATGGGCACAAGAAACAGAATGTGAACATCGTTTATTATTATTAGACTGGTTTATTGAGAAAATTAATGAATTACGGAACCTGTTGGTGCTCTAGAATTGCGCTGAATTGTGGGGTCTTGTTACAATCATTACAAATGTAACAAATAGGAGTTTACACATTATATTGATTGAAGAAAGAGTAAACATTGATTAAAAATCTTGACACCAAATGACAACTACCTGAATTGTTGGTACATTATCATTCTGAAACTTGCTGTATAATGTTTGGTAAATGAGACTACTAATCGTGCGCTAATCTCCGATACATTTAACAATAATAATGGACTCAAAATATTCAGTTACTTCATTCATTCATGTACATTCATTTGGATTGGAATAAAGAAAAAAAACTATACACTGTGGAGAATTAAGAGTTGGTCTGAATTTCTTTGTGTTTTATTCCTTATTGTGAATAGCTCACTGATTCTATGCATACTAAGATTCAGTTGTCACGAATACTAAGTACTTAGTATGCCATCCTTTAGCCCTTTTAAGTGAGGTTTGACGTTAATTAAACCAAGAATAAGACCTCAGTCTAATTGAACCCACCCAACTCAGTCGGATGTGGGCATCCAAAGTAAAGGCATCCAAAGTAATTTCAGGGTGGCAAAAATATTCTGTCTGATATTGACATATATGACACAGACCTAGTAGTATACAGAATCAATGACATCGTTCAACTCAAATTGTATGTAAGAGATAAAAGTAAATGGTACATGGCCCCTTTTTGTTAAAACCTTACTTATCAGCTAGTAATCAGACTCATCCTAAATTATCGCCAAAATAAAGTCGTTATCCTAACTATGAAGAAACTCCACTTACCAAGCCAAAGAACACATTTGCCAGGCTCATGAGCTCAGACTCACAGGAGTAAAGCGTTATGCGGCGATCTGTCGTTTGACCCACACTCAAAGTGGACATCAGGTTTGTGACCTCTCACCTTTGCCCTGTTGTACGCCATTTTGGTCATGGGATCCGTACATGTCGATCAGCTCTGATCCCATGCTCTGGAGAACGCGATTTTTACGGAAACCCAGACGTCGTGGAGGTCGTAAGCTCGTCAACCCAGAGGTAAGAACTTTGTTTGTCAGTTAGAAGTGTCTTTACGATCGGTATTTGAATTGAAAGGGACAGTATATGATATACAGGCGTGGTATAAATTTTGTATTAAACAGCTGTCAACTTTGTGACATACACATAGCTATGCCGCTAGAGACGATAGGGAATCGCGAATAACATTATGTTATATCCTCTAGGTACAAGTCAGTCCTAGCTCGTGTTAGCCTGGTTACCAAACCTATTATAGCTCCCGAGTCCTACATCCTCTCCGCAAATAGGATGTAGGACTCGGGAGCTATAATAGGTTTGGTAACCAGGCTAAGCTCGTGTGTCAAAACGAAGGAAGAAATCGTCCACATTCGAGTCACGTCGCAGGAAGTGGCGTAATTTCCGGTGCATTATTTTCGTATAGGATGGTCGGCGAAACACAATGAGCTATATCGGACTTTTTGTAAAATTTTGCGTGTTTTTATTGGAGGAAAGAAAGAATATATTTTTGTCACGTCGCATAGAGAAACTGACAGGAAATGGGGTCTGAAGAACTGGCTGATTCATCTTGAAGCATTCCAGGTCATAACTTGGGTTTGGTTTTGCCTTTGGGGAGTGTAAAAATAAAGAAGCTACAGTACGTACTACTGTATAGTATAAACTATAATGGGAAAGTGATACAGACTGGTGATGGTGATTTGTTTTGTATATTATACTATGTGTGAGATATTTGAAATTTTGTTATACTTATTTTGTTATACTTTTTATAGAAAAACCAGGTGGTGCACTATGTTGACAGAAATAATTTCTTCTGTAAAATCTGCACCCTGTTCTTTAAATAGTTTAATTATTTTTTAACAATTGTTTAAATAGTTTAATTATTTTTTAATTTTATCTTTTATTTTTTATAAATTTTTAACCTAAGCTATGTTATGGATCGTTTTTTGTTAATGTATCTATTTGCCTCTTTTTTTAGGAATGGACGAGCTTTGTTCAAAACAAACTGCAAACAAGATGCACATAAAACAGGAGGATACTGGATACAAGGAACATGAAGTGCTAGGTGAGGAAGCATACAGCATAAAGCTACCAACTGGTATCATGACACACATCAAAGAGGAGAAGACAGAAGACACAGAATGGCAACAGGACAAGGAAGAAGATGTGCTATGCCAGGAGGCATACGGTAGAACAGAACCAACTGGCCATGGTTATCCTTGTAACAAGCCACACATCAAAGAGGAGAACATAGGAGACACGGGATGGCAGCCAGGCAAACAAGAGGACATGCTACACCAGCAAGCGTACAGTGAGAATCAGAAAACGCACCTACCAACCTGGCATCCAGTGAGTGACAGTTCCAACAGTGGAGAGCAGACTGTGACAGATACCTGTGGTATAAACTGCATCGGATCTGACACAGAGAAAGAAGTCTTGCCACAGACAACTGTGCAGAGCAGCACAGTACAAGGTGACAGCCATATGGCAGAACATACATTCATTTGCTGGAAGTGCGGCTACCGAGCAGCAGAAAGGAGTCTCATGTACAAACATATGACTCAACATACAGGTGAAAATGCCTACAAATGTGACCAGTGTGACTACTCTGCTGAACAGAAATCTGAAGTAGACCAACACGTCGTGGAAAACCACACCAGTGACAAACCCTACATGTGCGGGGACTGTGGATACAGGACTGCCTTCAGTGCTGCGATGTTGTCCTGTCATGCTGCATCTGGACTTAAGAGAAAACACACAGGTGAGAAAGTTACTGAGGAGCAGCTTTCTTTTAAGTGTGACCACTGTGACTTCTGTGCTCCAGGTAGGCGTGATCGTGACCAACATGTGATGATTAAACACACCGGTGAGAAACCCTACATGTGTGGGGAGTGCGGATATAGAACGGCTGTTAAGTCCCACCTATCCAGACACATGAAAATACATACGGGTGAAAAACCCTACAAATGTGACCAGTGTGACTACTCTGCTGCACAGAAATACCAAGTAGACCAGCACGTGACAAGAAAACACACAGGTGAGAAACCCTACGTGTGTGAAGACTGTGGGTACAGGACTGCTCAAAGCTCCAACTTATACCTTCATAGGAGAAAACACACAGGTGAAAAACCTTACAAATGTGACCAGTGTGACTATTCTGCTGCCCGAAAACATCATTTAGACCAGCACTTAGCTAAACATACTGGTGAGAAACCCTACATGTGTTCAGTGTGTGGATTGAGAATGGCTGATAGTGGCAACCTATCTCGACATATGAAAACACATACAGGTGAAAAACCCTACAAATGTGACCAGTGCGACTATTCAGCAGCAAAGAAACGGCTTTTAGATGAACACGTCATGACAAAACACACCGGTGAGAAACCCTATATTTGTGTAGAGTGTGGATACAGAACAGCTGGTAGCGCTGCCTTTTCAAGACACAAGAGAACACACACTGGAGAAAAACCCTACATGTGTGAGGAGTGTGGATTCAGGACGGCTACAAGTTGGAACCTCTCCCAACATAAGAAAACACATACAGGTGAAAGGCCCTACAAATGTGACCAGTGCGACTATTCTGCTGCACAGAAAGGCAATTTAGACCAACACGTCATTGCAAAACACATAACTGTGAAACCCTATATGAGTGTGGACTTCAGATAGATGGATAATACCCATTTATGGATAGATACACAAGTTAGGCGTATTAGGTTGTTTGGTGCAATATAGCCAGGTAACCAGCTGAAAAATAATAGGAATCATGAGAAACCTTACAGTTGTGACTGATTTGACTATTCTGCTCCACAAAAATAGATTCCTGCCTTCATAGGTTGAACATTTGCTCACAATCCATTTGAAGTCCTGTAAGAAAAGTGTGGTAATTGTGATTTTAATTTTGATTATTTGGGAAAAAATTTAACTCACACTTGCTATAATTTTAAATAAGATTGAAAATTAAAATGTGAATATATTTCAATTTATTTTATTATAGGAATCTATCATATACACAAGTGAACGTGGATGTACAAAGATTTCATGTTGAATACAATTCAACCACTGAAGTGACTCTTATTCTTAGATGAATATTTACAGGTATTTGAAAATATTTTCAAATAGTAGCTCTGGGTTATTGTCCTCAATAAAAACGTTATTAATCTGATCCTACAGTCTGCCTCTGTATATTTTTTGAAATGTCACTTCTGGACACTGGTAGCTTTTGTTTTTATTACCCATCGATGCATGGCCGGCACTTAGATATAATAACTATGTAATTTCCTTTATTGCAAGTTTATAATAGTACATTCATTCAAGTATATAATAACTATCTTTAATCTTAATCTTTATTGCAAGTTCATGGCAAGGGCAATGCATAACGGGCACAGAATGTATTGAAGAATGGTATCAAACCAAGTGCTAACATAAATCCACGAACGTAAAGCGTTGTGCGGCGTTCTGAGGTTTCACGCACACTCAAGGTAGCAGAACACAGTTTTCGCCCTATGGGGATTTCTATAGTTAAGGACCCCAAGATGACTCACTTCGACGCGGTAAAAATTATAGCAGGGTGCACTTCACAAATACGGAAATCGAATATGTTTGAGAAGAAGGTACAAACTACAACTACCACAGCACGAAAACAGATATTTAAGCAAACTTTCCGCAATATGTAAAGAGGTATTAAAGCTGGAAAAATATTTAAGTTGACTTTACGCTTCGTAAAGGTTGCTGAAAGGTAAATTCCGCCTTTCCGTCACCTTTCAGTGGGCTTAAATACGACGTAAATATATACAGACATTTAAGCAAACTTTCCGCAATGCGTAAATAAGTATTAAAGGTAGGAAAATATTTCAGTTGACTTTACGACTTCGTAAAGGCCACTGAAAGACAAAGTCCACCTTTCCGCCACCTTTCAGCGCGCTTAAATACGACGTAAATATATAAAGACATTTAAGCAAACTTTCCGCATATGTAAAGAAGTATTAAAGGTGGGAAATATTTCAGTTGACTTTACGACTTCGTAAAGGCCTCTGAAAGGCAAATGTTTCGTTTCGTAGCCTTTTTTAACGTCTAAACATGTTCCAAATGGCAAATAGATAAACGAGTTTATCGCCCAGCCGGCTTCGCACTTTCATTTTGCTTTATTTGTGAAGCATGACAAAACTTACATTGCTTTTATGTCCTTCGCGTGAACTTACAAAGTATCCATATGCAGACACCCAATGAGGAACGTGTCATGTGATAGGGCGGTACCCAATGGGATACAAGACAGCGAGGTTCAAATCTACCGGACTCAACTCATTTTTATGGCGTCTATTTCGAAGACACGTCGACCCTCCTTCTAATTGAGACATTATGACTGAAGTTGAGAATCTCATGGAGCGAGGAAAGGCAAGAAATTTTCGAATTCTTTAGAATATGTTGAAATTGGTGGAGGCCCAGTCGCAAAGGATCAAGGGGCTTCTAAGCAGCGGCAATGACAACACGACTCTCGGCCCGGCTCGGCCCGTCTGACAACAGCCAGGAGGACGGAGGAGAAAGCTTTCACAAAACGCCGTATACGAGGGAGCTGATCAAATATATGTTTGGAGATACAAGTAGTCAATTCCTTGTATTGGTGAGCTTAGTTTAGAAAAGTATTATTATGAACTGTTTTCATTATACGTAATCTGCAGCTGGGGAGGGATACGTAATAATGTGACAATATAGTATGAGCTAACATCTTGTTCTAAAACATTTTATTAGGAATCATTGTATTTTGTATGTTTTACTCAATAAGTTGTTCTCAGATCATATCTGTTTCTGTCATCATATTCACATATACCGACGTAAGTTAAGGTTATGCACAGCCGATTCAAATGTTCGGAAAGGCAACTTAAAGCTTAAAATTGTCCGTAAACAGTGATTAAAGGAATAGTTTACAAAGCCTTTAAGGTGCGTAAAGGCACTGTTAAAGTGCAAATACGTATCTTTCCAGTACTACGGAAAGGGCACGTAAAGACAATGTTTACGAGGGACTTAAAGGCAGCTAAAAGACCTCTTAAATTTTAAGTAAACGCATGCTTTCCGACCAAAAAAGGTCTGTAAACAATACTTAAAGGAATAGTTTACAAGCCTTTACGGACATGAAAGGTGCGTAAAGGCACCGCTAAAGTAGTGCAAATACGTATATTTCCAGTAGTACGGAAAGGGCACGTAAAGACAATGTTTACGAGGGACCTTAAAGGCAGCTGAAAGACCTCTTAAATTTTAAGTAAACGCATGCTTTCCGACCAAAATAGGTCCGTAAACGATACTTAAAGGAATAATTTACAAAGCCTTTACGGACATAAAAGGTGCGTAAAGGCACCGCTAAAGTAGTGCAAATACGTATCTTTCCAGTACTACGGAAAGGGCACGTAAAGACAATGTTTACGTACACGGAAAGGTGCCGGAAAGGTGCGTAAAGATGGAAATTACGCCGCCTTTAAGCACGATTTAAGCATGCTTAAATATGGTTTTTCGTGCCGTGTACAAATTTAGCCCAGTTGTAAGCTACTGACACACACCATCCTGAGTTTCCGCTACATTTTGATACATTTCGCGTAATGTCATAAGATTCGTTTCTTGGTATGAGAAACTGTATGAATGTGGCTACCACATGCAATATAATAAGTGGTATGATACCATTCAAGTATATACAAAAAGAGGAATTTAATACAAGGTTCTGACCATTCAAAAATCGTCAAATTTGAAGTCAATCGGTTTCGAACTCTTGCGTTCGATCCATGGAACCAAGGCAGCGCGTTCCATTTTTCGCGCCGCCAACAATGTTGCAACTTTCAACCGCTGTTTGCGAAAGTTCATGAAAAGAAGGAATCAAGTTTTTTCATTACAAACAGACTTTACGAAACCCATTCCAAGTCAGACTTATATAATGAAGACGCTAGAGAAAGTGGGATTCATGTGCAACTATACCAATGTCAGCACATATGCCCGATGTTTGTATATTTACAGTAACAGGTCATAGTGTCCGATTTCTCCTTCAAAAATTAGGTCATGAAAAATCAACCTGTTCTTGCCCTGTATTTGTTCATGCCCAAATTCCTTCTCTTCTGTTTTCATCCGTAAAGTGGGTATCGTTTTGAAGCTTACTATTTGGTCGATATTCTTTCACTTTCATTTTTGTTGTATATAACTTTTAACAGAACATTTTTAGAGAAACTGTAAAGAAATTACACTTTTTCTCAATGTCGAGCTGAAATACACATTGTGCAACTTCAAAACTAAGTACACAGGTGTCAAGCCAACATAACTATATTTCAGCCATATCTGACATTACAGGTGTATTGGTTAGAACTAGTTGGAAAAGTTTGCGATTCGAACAAACATCGTCGAGAATTCGACTGAATGAGCCCAACTTACTATCGGTTACTATATTGTAACAACTACAGGATCCCAAAAGAAACAACACACGATAGATGAGGGAGGGTCTATACTTTATTAAACAATACACCAAATCGACGATGAAATAGGGCAAACGGGTTTGCCCCTCAAAAAACTAAAGGGTACCTATCTCGAGTGGAATCATCTCCATCAAACACGGTCAACTTTGAAACCTCGTTTCTCCAACAAACACCACCGGTAATGTACATCTACGACCTTGAGCGTGACGCCGGCCCTTCTTACATCTCACATTAACGTATGACAAGGAAACATTTACGCAAAGCGAAGTTACAAGCGAAACAGTAAACAGTAGCAAACTCTCGCGGATTCTCGCGGATCACATTACCTTGGAAAAGAAGCGCGAGATTTAAACGAGATCTCAGAGAGAGCTGCGCAGAACCGATGCGCATAGCGGTCTGCGGTTCGACTGGTCATCGTTATCGTCCTCTACTTCTTCCGAATTTTGACGCTATTTTAACGCTATTCCAGAACTTGTGTCCATCCGTAACTGCCCCACAGCGTCAGGTAAGACCTTTGATTGTTTTTAGATCGCTAATTGACGTGTGCTTGTTAAGCGGTTTATTGGAATTTAGAAGTGTATTTTATGTCGGCACAAATATAATATTTTTGATGGGGAGGGGGGCGCTCCCAGTAGTGTATATATTTGTAACAGCTGAGAATGTGTAACGTTACGTGTGTCGATCAGTAACATCAAATTAATAAAAAAAAAACGATGAGGACATTGTTGCTTTGTCCTCTATGCGTAGAGATCGAGTGATTTATTAAAAGATAATAATACAGGAGGAAACCTTCCACATTCTAGTCACGTCGCTGGGAAACCGACAGGGAGTGTGGTCAAAGATCGCGGACTCGGTGATTTCCGTGATGTGTTAAGAACCGAGTTTGTGTTGTGTTATGAGCCGGAGTTATAATGGAAGGGTCTATTTATTTATGGGCGTGCGTGTGTGTATATTTGTGTGCATGTGCGTGTGTCTGTGCCTGTGTTTTGCGTGTCTGGATATATATCCTGTGTATGTGTGTGTGTCTGCACCTAAAAATTTATCTACTGTATTTCTAATATTTTCTGCCTCTATTTCAGAGATGGCTGAGTTCACATGTGGGCCTCCCGATAATGAGCTCTACATGGAACAAACTGTTAACAAGATAAACATTAAAGAGGAAGAAAACACGGGATGGCAACAGGGCAAGGAAAAGCAACACCCGGGCCCGTACGGCATAGAGCAACCATCAGGTTGTCTTGGGAACATAACACACATCAAACAGGAGAAGACAGACGACACGGAATGGCAACAGGACAAGGAAGAAGACGTGCTAAACCAAGAGGCGTACGGTATAAGACTACCAACTGGATATCTTGGGAACGTAACGCACATCAAACAGGAGAAGACAGACGACACGGAATGGCAACAGGACAAGGAAGAAGACGTGCTACGCCAAGAGGCGTACGGCGTGAGACTACCAACTGGATATCTTGGGAACGTAACGCACATCAAAGAGGAGCCGACAGACGACGTTCAATGGCCGCAGAGCGAGCAAGAAGGAGAGCTAGGCCAGGAAACGTACAGTGAAGACCAGGAAACATTTGGCATAAACCTCCCGACCCATTATTCCTGGAGCGACATTGGGGAGCAGACAGCATACACGGGATGGCAGCAGGACGAGGAAAACAACTTTGGAGACGACGAAACGTGCGGGGTAAATTGTACCGGGTCTTACGACGAAGAAGCCTTGTCACAGACTGAAACTGGACACACCAGCACAGTAGAAGAAGGCAGCCGTGTGCCAACACATACCTACATTTGCTGGAAGTGCGGTTACCGAGCGACTCAAAGGTATCGCTTGTTGAAACACATGAGGACACATACGGGCGAGAAACCCTACAAATGTGACCAGTGTGACTATGCTGCAGCTCTAAAATACAACCTGGACCAACATGTCATGACTAAACACACGGCGGACCGTGAGAAACCTTACACGTGTGGCGAGTGCGACTACAGAACGGCTTTCAAGTGTAGCCTTTTCCAACACATGAAAACGCACTCAGGCGAAAAACCCTACAAATGTGACCAGTGCGACTATACTGCTGCACAGAAAGGCCATTTAGACAAACACGTCATGACAAAACACACCGGTGAAAAGCCCTATGTGTGCAGGGAGTGCGGATATAGAACGGCTGTTAAGTATCACCTAACCCGGCACGTGAAAACACATGCAGGGGAGAAACCCTACAAGTGTGACCAGTGTGACTATGCTGCCAGTAGGAAATCTCAAGTAGACCAGCACTCTATGGCAAAACACACTAGTGAGAAACCGTACGTTTGTGAGGACTGTGGATACAGAACAACTTCAAGTCAGAACCTAACCCTCCATAGGAGAAAACATACAGGCGAGAAACCCTACAAATGCGAGCTCTGTGACTATTTAGCTGCGCGGAAACAACATTTAAACCAACACATGGCAAAGCATACTGGTGAGAAACCTTTTATGTGTGGGGAATGCGGGTACACGGCCGCTCACAGGGGCAAGTTATCCAGGCACATGAAAATACACACAGGTGACAAACCCTATAAGTGTGACCAGTGTGACTATGCTGCTGCAAGGAAATCTCAAATACACCAACACGTCATGATAAAACACACAGGTGAAAAACCCTACATGTGTGAGGACTGCGGATACATGACTGCCATAAGTTCAAACCTAGCCCTTCATAGGAGAAAACATACCGGTGAGAAACCTTACAAATGTGACCAGTGTGACTATTCTGCTCCAAGAAAACATCATTTAGACCAGCATATTGCTAATAAACACTCTATTGAAAAACGTAACAAGTGACAAGTGGCAAGTTTATAGGGGCAAGCTATCCCGACATAGAGAAAAAACACCGGGGCTAGAAACAAAATAGATGTGACTGTATGTATTAGTATATAACTTAATAAGATTTAGCAAATAGATGTACATTTCAGTAAAATGCCTGTAGGAGAGTAGGTAGTCATTAATATGTATCAAAAATATAATATTATGTGTAATTAATTTTATTGCTCAACATAAGTATGTGTTACAACAACGTATACATATGTAAATACAATTGTAATCTACAAAAGACCATATAGTACCAGATAAAACTATATGTGTATATTTTTTATTGTAATTTTTTTGTAATGTCTATGCGCTGTCTTATATTTCAATGCATGAACATTCACAATCCATTGGTCGCATTTTATCTGCCATGTAGGCTTTGTTAACTCCAGTTTTTATATTGAATTAGTAGGCAAGTGGAGTAGATCAAGACTTCAACTGCAATGTACAATGTACTGCAGTAAGACTCTGAAGCATTACTGGACAAATATACATCACTTGTCAATAGAGGTTTACATTTTGGGTCAAAATAACAAATACACAGGCCCTAGGCCATTTCGTTTCAATTTCTATAATTAGTGGTAAAAAACATGTTTTCTCACTTAGATTTTTCAAGTGAACAAAAATTTATGTCAAAATCCTGATGTTGTCATTACCATATAATGCCATTCTGTAGCTGAGGTAAAAGTAAAATATGATCGAATTAATGACTAGATAAATTTACAACATAATTCAGATTTCTGCTTGATCAACAAAGTCGAGACGTCAACGCATCTGCTTTTTGAGAAATGACTTCTTCAGGCATTATACAAGGATTCTCTAACAAAAAGTCAAATTGAATTAAACATGAATATAATACTTTGCGAGTCTTAACAGTAAAAAAAACAATGGAAAATGCAAGATAAAATGGAAAAAAATGAAAGATAGTATTGTATACCACTTAACCCATACTGATTTGATGTTAACAATCTCACGGATCGACTTCACAAGAAAGCTGAGATTCCAAACCTCCGTATAATAATGTTCACAACGACCACTGACAATTCCAGACATTACATTAACAGCAATGTTACCAGTAACGAACGCCGTAAAAGATGAAATGTAAAAGATATCATAATTATAATGACATCAGTGAACCATGAAACTTCAACATTAACAACACCGTAATTTAGGAAATTGCATCACCGGAATAAATCCATAATGTTACAACATCTATTAACAAGTTCAAACATCACAGTACAGAATTTAAAAATGGATGCGGTACATATATGGTCCATTTCAAATATAGATTCAAGCTGGTGCACCTTGATTTTTTTTCGGGGCCTGCCCACCCCCATTTCCGTAGAAGTTGGCGACTCCGCACAGGCTCAATCATACTGTGGACGATACCATAATCACACACCACCAAGTTGTGCGGGGGTGTTAAATTATTGTATATCATATCTTATTTCAGTTTTTTTCAATTACAAGATTTTATTTCATATCCAGTTTCAAGTTGCTTTCCCTGGGGGCAAAATGCAACGCTGCGAATGTTTGGAAATGATGCGTTCTGTGTATTGCGAATCGTGATCACAGAAACGAGTGCAGAAAAAAACTCAATGCAAAATGTCACTTATTTGGGCTTACAATGCACAAGTCACTACATAACCGCTACCTTGATCTTTATTTCTATATTTCTTCACTCTTTATTTTTCACACTGGTGTTAATGTTACTTACTTCTTGAAAATAAAATGTTCCGAAATAAAACAAAATGCTCATTGGAACTGCTTCGAACAAGTTTGAAGTTGATTGCCTAACTTGTTTCCACCATTGACTTGACTTTCTCATTTTTTCCTTTCCTCTCTTTCCCATTTCATTCCTTCTTTGTTTCTTTCTTTTCCTCATTTCTTTCATTTTCTTCATTATACTGGGGTTACTTCTTCAAAATTACATGTTCCGAAATGAAACGAAATGCAAATTTGGGTTGCTTCGGACAAGGTTTAAAGTTGTCCGCCTTGTCTTCAGATTGGGGCTCCGGTGTACCGCAGGTCTGGTTATTGATACTTTCAAGCACAGCTGTCTTGCCCACTGCAAAAGTTTCCAGGCGTTTAGGGCTGGCACAACGGGGAACATCAACGTCAGTAAACGGTTTAGAAAACGGGTGGCTGAAATTTCCATTTCGTTTAAAGATCTTTAGTTCCAGTTCTGCCAGCCACGTCATATTGCAATCACATTGGATCGGGTTGTCTTCAATGTACATTTCCTGTACCCACCACGGTGGACCCGGAGAGGCCAAGCCCAGGTCCGCCGCCGAAAACACGGCTAGCTTGTTACGGGCAAGAACGACAACTTGGACGTTTTTCAGTCCTTTTTCGGTGGCCAAGTTTAGCCTTACCGTCGATAAGTGGTTAAACGATAAATCAATCCTTTTAAGTTTTTTCAGGTGTTTCAAAGACTCCCAGTGAAATGTCGTAATGATGTTGCCACTTAGATCTAGTTCGCGAACGAAACGGAAAGCGTCAGAGAAGCCAGGGACAGTTTGGATACGGTTTTGCTGAAGGTGTACCTTGTTTCCCAGACGTTTGAAACCAGAAAAACTGGTCGGAAAAATGGTTATGTTGGAATTGGGGCAGTCGATATCATACATGCCGTATTTTAGCTTATAGCAGCTGGACGGAATACTGGTACTTGCTACAAGTTGCATGAGAACAAAACAGTTTAAATATGCTACTATCATTGTCACAACAAGACAGCAACTTTTTTGTAGTTTTTACAGCGAAAATCTGGTAACATTACTAGAAATCTATATCTGTAGACCACGTCTTTACAGAATTAGAAGGAAAACACGTGGGTTTCAAAATTGCTGTCTGCTACTCCAAAATCTTTACATGCTTGCAGTCAACAGATGGAGTGATGCAAATATATTTCTAATGCATCTAAAGACTACAGACCCAGAGTTTTTCTAGATGCTCAGATGAATTGATTAGTTTCAGATGACTCCAGTTAGTTGGGATGTCAGCCGTTCCATTTCCCCGTCAATAAACCTGCAGGTCAAAATAGTGCACGATAGACTTTGGTATCTACACCTATATTAAAGTCATCCTATTTCAGGGCGCCAAGAAATATTTTGGAAGAAGAAATCAGTAATATTTTTGCGTTTATTGTCATTTTTAGCATTATGGGATAGGGTAGATTCAACTTACTATATCAATCTAAAAAATGACAAGTGTCTTTGAAAATCAAATTCTATTGGTTACATGTACTATTCATATTTAGCCATTTTTTCTTCTTTTTTTCTGTAACTTTCCTAGCCTGGGTACCATCCTGGTTAGTTTACGTCCGCTCCTACAGTCGCTACCACCAACAAGTAGCGACTGTAGGAGCGGACGTAAACTAACCAGGATGGTACCCAGGCTATAACTTTCCTTAGTGGGTGTAGCAAAAGAAATCCCTATATACTAGAATATGAGAAGACCCTGACCACTGAGCATCCTTGAACTCAAGAAAATCTGTTAAAGCCGAAGAGTGTACTTTGTAAGTTTACAAGGTAGGTTATACATAAATGTTGAAAAAATGAAAAGATTATTAGAGATCAACTCCATGACAAAAATGAAACAGTACGTACCGTAGAACACACTCTGATGCCGAGTAAAGAAACAACACTCCCACGGTGAGGTGACGAGCAGCCGTGAATCTGCATGCAGCAAACGGAAATAAACAATCTCCCGGCGCAGATCCGCCAGCTTTTATTGTCTACATCCTCCGGGCGTAACCTGGCATCCAGCCGGCTCCGAGGGACCAAACAGATCAGTCACCAAGGCAAATATGCATCCATGGCAGCCCTGGAAACGTCTGGTGACGAGATTATCATCACGTGGCTCGTCATGGCTCATCTTGCATTGTACGCCCAGCCCTACACATTACTAAGACTAATTTTCTAGTCGGAAAGGTTATATAGGATGAAAAAATACCAAAGCGTATGTCGTATCTCCCCAGACGTAAATTGTGCCATCTCCCACACTGATTTGATTTTACAACTGACATCCATCGATCACCAAAAATGATGTAAGCGCCAAAGTAAATGATTGAGAAAAATCTAGATAGTTTTTAGATTATCATTACACATTGGTTATGACGCCATAACCTTACCAGTGGTGATCGCATCTCATAAACAGTTCAATTCTGCCCCCCCCATAAATAACCTGGTGTTTTTTTTTTTTATTTATTTCACAAGTAAGACAAAGTACAGGACAAAGTGATAGCGCACTCAAGTTACAATACTTATTTTGACGCTACCACTTAATAAATGAAATACAAGGAAATAAGGGATAACAAAATGTGAAATGGTATAATAAAGTAAAAAGATGTTTAAATCCCATAAACACCTCGACCAATCAGAATCGACGGAAATCGCCGCCAGTGTGAGTTGTAGCGCTAGGGACATTTTTGTAATGTTTGATTTTGGGCAAAGGAAGGGAACCCATATTGGTATGGATTTCTGTTGTGCCAGTTGCTTATACACGATGTCCAACGCGTCTCCCAAAAAAGTGGATATACATGTAAGTTTTGCACCACCTTCTAAAAACAAGACAACGCAGCTACTGAAAGAAGCATGATCACGGAAAATCACTTTTTATTACGCATACACTGTGTTCATTTCTTGAGCCTGCTTCATCATTAATATATAGGAAAGTAGGCAGTTTAAAATCAATTCTATCCGCGAACTCGCTTCTATGTTGGTGTATATCTGTATCTGTAGAGCCGGTATAACCACCTTTAGGCGTAACACACCAGCTTCGCAGGCACGCGGCTCGGCGGCAGCTGGCTTCATTACACCGATCGGCTTGTCACACCCAACACTCGAACATCTAACTCTAGACATTGTTTAAAGCTATCTAATGACAATGCCCCTACTGTACTTGGGGACAGCGAGTTCCACTCTGCGTGTGTTTCAGTTCAGAGATGGATATTCATAATCTGACGTCGCTGTGGCAGTTGATATTAGAAGTTTCGAGAGATACACGTGCACGTACATGTACACGTGAGTTTCTGGTATGTTCTCATCCAATCTGACCGTCTCTCAGATGAGTCTGTGTGGGAGGACTACGAGACAAGGAATGACACAACGAGGTAAGGCCACACCGCCTTAATTTTATGGATGACATCCTCTGAAGACCCCCAAACTAGTGCGCGCGGGCGAATAAAAAAAAATCCGGCCAAAAATAAAAATGTTACTAAACCACAGGG